AACGAAGGACAGTTAGTTGGTGAGACTCCACGGGCCTCCTCAGCCTCAGAGCCCAGACAGGCGAGAGCCGGCTCACTTCGGGTATTGCTTCAGCTGGGGGGTCGCTGACAAGCTGGTTCCCACAGGGCGCAGTGGAAAGCACACCGGCCTGCCAGGCCACAGTGCCTCTGAGCTCCGACCGTCATCAGCCAGCTGCGTAGCCTTGAGCAAGTCACTCAGCCTCTTGGGCACGGGCCTCCTCAGCCTCAGAGCCCAGACAGGCGAGAGCCGGCTCACTTCGGGTATTGCTTCAGCTGGGGGGTCGCTGACAAGCTGGTTCCCACAGGGCGCAGTGGAAAGCACACCGGCCTGCCAGGCCACAGTGCCTCTGAGCTCCGACCGTCATCAGCCAGCTGCGTAGCCTTGAGCAAGTCACTCAGCCTCTTGGGCTCAGCTTCCCTAACTATACAATGGGACAGCAGTGCCTTCCCACGACTCAAAAAACTGTGAGGTCCAGATGGGTGGGAGTCAGTAGAGATGAAAGTCAACCCTATGCCAGGTACATTGCAAATGGATGCACTGACCGTGGCCCTGCCACTGCAGGGGCGTGGCCCCAGGTCACACAGGAAGTGGGCTGTGGGGTGGGCCTTCCTCCCACTGGTCATCTCTTGCCCCCTTCTCACTGAGGCAGATGTCAACCAGAATGAGGTGTAGCCAGGTCGGCTTTGGGACCCAGCTGAGGGGGAAACCGAGGCACTAGTCAGGAATTCCATGCCCACATGCTCTCAGCATCAGGACAGAGAGACAAGACATGAATATTGTCAGTGACTGGGACGGGGGCACCGTTGCCCCTCCTAGGCGTGGTGTCACCCACCTTTTCCATCTCTCAGACCCCACAGAGGCCAGGCAGTCTTGGCTCTGGTCCCAGGTGATGAGAACCCCTAGCCCCAGGCCCAAATCAGTGCTCCATCGAAGAACCCAGGAGGGAGGCGGAATGGAAATTGCCTGCCCCTTCCCTCAAAGTACAATGTCCCCTCCAGGGTCAACCAGGACGGCCAGTGCTTCTTGATGATACTCGGGAGGTATTTGGGCTCAGGGAAAACCCAGGCCTCAGGCACTGAGAGCTGCCCCCAGCTGTCCTGTCCCCAGTGGTTCCAGCAAAGGCCGCCTCTCTCCTGCCAGTGACTGGTGACTGGACATCCTCTCCCTATCCCGGAAGAAGGCATTAGGCCCCAGTCTTGAACTCTTATAGGGTCTCATGGACCTAGGCCTCTGCCTGTTCTGATGTTTTTCTTTTTAAAGCCAACAAGGACCAAAACAGACTCCCTCCACCCTCGTGCATAAGCCTACTTTGGGCCTGCAACTCGGCCTAGGCAGTTCCATCACCCTGTCCTCCCTCCAGTACTGAACTGGCCTACCTGTGGGGGCAGGATTTTCACCTCTGATACTCCGCTGCAGGGTCACTGCCCAGTGGCTTCAAAGAGAGGTCTCTTGAAGGGGGAGCATCCTCCCCCCATCGCTCTCTCCCAACTCTTCACCCTGAAAGGGAAGTCAAAGCACAGGTCCCCAGGACCCATGATCCGTAGACATGCTGACACAGGGGTTTTCAAACCAGGTGCTGTGGAACCCCTGGTGTTCCACAGAGATTTGCCAGGGGCTGCTACAGTGGGAAGGGAGGGTGGAGGCGTAGGCTAGGTCTCCAGCCCTCCGCCATTCCCACTTCCACCAGAACAACTCTGCTTTTTACCTGACTTGCCTAAGGAGGTTTCACCTTCAAATTTTCTTTTGAAGGAAAAAAATTCTTCAAACCACCATTCTGAGGTTTGATCTTCGACCAGCAAGCACGGGTTCTATTCTTGCTTTTCATGTTGGAATGGCTCTAGCATCCCAATACAGATTTGTATTGGAACTTGGGTCACACACCCAGGCCCAAGCATTTGCCTATTCTCAATCACACACACACACACACACACACACACACACACTTGATGATTTTGTAGCCCCCCTCCCTGTGGCTGGGGCTTAGGTTTCATTTGGGCCGAACCTGGAGCTCCGTGAGGGTGGATCCTGACCCTGATGTTGGCCCCTGCAGCTTGGGGGACTGCGGAGCAAGGAAACAGGCCCAGCCCTCACCCCAGTATGATACCCAGCTCTCCTGGCCCAGGTAGGTGGGATGACAGAAGGGACAGGGTGATGGGAGGAGAAACTGGAGTCAGGTTCCTCTTTACATACAGCCAGAGAGATGGAAGTCCAGGTTTCCTAAAAGAAATGCTGAGGCAGGACTCGATAGCAAAATCTCTCCTGTGAGAGCAGCATCTGTCCAGAGACTTTTTAGGCAGCACGTCACCCTTGAGCAATTCTAATAGGACCCCACGCCCACATCTGTGGGCAATCCGGTGTGTGGGCCACAGGAGGGTGCCGGAAGGGAGGCTGGTCCCCTACCTGCAGTCTCCCAAGTCCTCTCCCTGCCAGCCTGTCCCATCACCCAGGCCCCTCATCAGGGCTGAGGGTGGGCCCTTGTGTGAGGCCTAGACCAGCCCCTGGCACAGAATCCTGTCTCCCCTGCCCAGGGCATTCTAGGTGAGAGGGTGAGGCTTGGGGCACTGCCGGCCCTGTGGTGCTCCACGTTCAGTTGCGTGTGCTCTTGGAACCCGACCTCAGTTTCTCCTTGTGTAACGTGGGGCTGGTGCCAGGCTCTGCCCACCTCAGAGGAATTACGGACTCATAGGAGGTGTGGGAACTGGGGTCACATGAGAGTGGGAGCCTCACAAACTCGGGATGTGATCATGGTTTGTGCTGCAGATCAGCAGAGCCCTCGGGGAAACGAGTGCAGGATGCAGGGTCTCACTGGAACATCTGCTCAGTGTTAAGGGCCAGCCACAGACCCGGGGTGGGGGGCGGGGGGGAGGGGCTCTTCCTACTTTCCTACTGAATGGGAGCCAGTGCTCAGCCTGATACAGCGACTGCGTGGGTCCTGGGTGCAGGGAGTGACAGGTGACTGGGACTGGTCCCCAGGTGTGTAGCCCTTCTGTGAATGATTATCTTGTGACACCCTCATTCCTGGGCCACCTGCCAGGTTTATTTGTTGTACCTGTGGCATTCCTTACGATGTCAGATAAGTTATTAAAGTTCATTCAACTTTATCAGGACAATGAACAAACGAACCA